ATTCACACCCAGAGCCCTGGACTGAGCGACGGCTGCCGTGCCTGCCAACGGCAACAGTGCCAAGGTTAAAACAGCACGCAGAGCGGGGGGGCACCTGCAAAGCACATGGCATGGAACAGTGTCCTGGTAACCAGGCGGGAGCTGCAGAGCTCCAGCCAGAAAACCTTTGAAGTTTAAACTGTTGCTTAATAACTGAGGAAAAGAGATCAAAAACTTTTCTACTTTTCACAGTAAGAAACAACAAACAAAAAATAAGCCACGTAACCCCAGCGCCTACCCTTAAAATAACAAATAACAATATAGAAAATATAAGCTTTTAACACATCCAACAACCTGCTTTCTCTTACAAACCAAACTTACTTGTATAATCTGCCTTTTACCCCATTTTTAACCCTACAGGTTTCTAGCACAGTGAAAAGTCAGACCCTCTCAGCTCCCTGAAACCCCCATTTAGAGTCCAGCCTAGAGCCTGTGAATGACAGACAGCCTTTGATATGAACTCCTCTAATAAGTTTAATTTTTTCAAACTTGGCAAACACATTTCCTCCACAAGGCATTTCAACTGATTAAAGGAAAATTGCAATAAGCAAGACTTCCTTGAAATGTTCTTCCCTGCAAGAACTGCCTTTAACTATGTGTTTATAAACTGTTGATAAGAGAGAGAAATTTCAAAAATGCCTTTTTAATACGTTTTAAAAGTTTCCAACTCCCCAGAGTTATTGGTTTAAGTTAAAAATTTCTAATGCTGAATGTATTGCAAGTTTTTATTCAATTTTCTTAAGAGACATGCATAACATCATGTCTGTAGTTTTAAGAATCTTCAGTAAGAACTCTGAAGGTTTGGGATTTTTTCAACAGTTTCCCTGCAGATTTGTTGGAATTACTAAAGGTATAAATTGCTAAACGATTGTTTAAAATTGTTAAGTTCTTAAAAGCATCTGCATAAGTTTAACCGTTACAACTATTTTGTTTAAGTAATATAATTAGAGTCTTCAAGAATTCCTAATTTTTTATTAATAAATACATGCAAATATTCTGTTATCCCAGAAAAGTGTATACAATGTCAGCAAAAATACAGAGTTAGCTGCTTGTAAATCCCAGCTACCTAAGAGACTGAGTTAAAACTAAAGATGATTTTTCTAACTGATATTATTTGAGAACCAGGTTTGGAAAACGCTCCAGAAAAATTTCAAAAGGCCAAACCATGAAACCTATTTCCCATAGAGATGAATGTACTGCAAAAAATCATCATTAAGCCTTCAGCTTCAAGAGAAACTGTGAAATTACCTGACTCACATCTGTTTCTGCCATGACAGCCATTTCAAACTGAATGAATTATTAATAACAAAATTGCAAGCCTTTTATCAAAGGTAAAGAGCAACTAGAAGAAGCTGATAGAAAAGAGCTGAAAACTGCCTACACCTCAGAACCAGAGACAACTTGAACTGGCCAATTTACACTGACTTCTTACCGAGGACACTGAATTATCTGATTGTAATAGTGACCGGTGGATTCATTTTGGTAGGTACGGACTATAGACAGAGATCACGTGTTGCTGCCGGTCACAAACCACTCATAGAACTCACGTGTTCATTTAACTATTCCACAACTTAAGAAGTCTTAAAAGCTGTAAAGACAAATAATGTTCTAATTTGCAGTTTTTCAAAAGCTAAAACCATTCTTGCAGATTGAAACACATCACACTAAAGACATCTGGCATCAATCTCTAAAGATGTTAAGAGGGTGGTTTTACCTGAGGTGTTAAACATGGGAGCGGGTCTATCTTCACAAATCCCAAGAGAAGAGATGGCAGAAAGCTGCCCTGCAGGTTGTATTTGAAGGAAGAGGAAAAGAGACCGAGGGGAAGGGGTTTCTTTCCTGGAGGGCAGGGCTGTCGTTCGCTTGCAGGAGCCCCGCGCTGGAATTGTCAGTCCGACTGCCAAATTGGAATCTGGACAAAGATTCCTGCCAGACAAAAGGTGTCAGGACAGAAAGGTGTTGCTGCCCATGGAGTGCCCAGGGTGGCCCACCAACTGCACCTGAAACCCAAAGGTTACAGGCTTTCTTTCCTGGGGGAAAGGCGGTGACTTCACAAAGAGTCCCATGGCAGATGGGTGGGGCTGCCCTGTGGGGGTGTGGGGCGTTGGTTCTTTGGTTTCCAGGGGCTATTCCAGAATGGAGAGGATGGGCTGGAACATCCTAAAGGGGCACATGGGTGGGGCTGCATTCTGACCTGGTGGGGTGTTGGTTCTTTGGTTGCCAAGGGCTATTCCGGAATGGAGAGGGTAGGCTGTGACATCACAAAAGGGCCTCCAGCACCTGGGTTGGTTTAGTGGGTTGACCCTGGCTGGATTTCAAACCCCCACTAAAAGCTGCTACCTCCCCCTCCCTCTGCTACTCCACAGAGGAGAGGAAAGAAACAGCTGAGGATTCCTGAGTAGAGATAAGGGTGGGGAGAAAGTCGCTTCCTACCAGGCAAAACCGACTCAAAGTAGGGATAGTACCTAAATTTATTACTGACAGGATAAAAGCCAGTGAGAAATAAAACAGTCTGATAAACACCTTCCCCCCACCCCTCCTTTCACCTTCTCCCTCCTCCCCTCAGCAGTGCAGGGGGACGGCAATGGGGGTTACAGTCAGTTGTTGTTTCTGTCACTACTCAGGGAGAGGAGTTGGATCCTTCCCTTCTCCTGTGGGGTCCCTCCCACGAGAGACAGTCCTGGATGGACCTCTCCAGTGAGTCCATCCCTCAGGCAGCAGCTCTTCCCACCCTGCTGTCCTGTGGGTCCCTCCTCCAAGGGGTCAGTCCTTCAGGGATGAGCTGACCCGGCGTGGGTCCCCCACAGGGGCCACGAGTCCTGCTGGGAAAAACCTGCTCCAGCCTGGGCTTCCCTCTGCACGGGCTGCAGGTGCCTGCCAGAACCTGCTCCATCCTGGGTCTGCCCCGGGGTCACAGCCTCCTTCTGCATCCCCCTGCTCCAGTGTGGGAGCCTCCAGGGGCTGCAGGGGGGTCTCTGCACCCTGATGCTCCCCCAGGGACTGCAGGGCCTCAGCTCTGGTGCCTGGAGCACCTCCTGCCCCTCCTTCTGCACCACCCTTGGGGTCTGCATTGCTGTTCCCATGTTCCCACTCCACTCTTCCCTGGCTGCAATTCCTTCTGGCCCTAAATCTGTTATCCCAGAGCTGTTCCTGTTGCTCCTGATGGGCTCGGCCTTGGCCAGTGGCAGCAAGTCCGTCCTGGAGCAGCTGGCATTGGCTCCACGGGGCAGGGGAAGCTTCTGGCAGCTTCCAACAGAAGCCACCCCTGGAGCCCCCCTGCTACCAAAACCCACCCACAGAAACCCCTGACACCCAGTGACTTCCACTTGCCCCAGGATGGTCCCAGTTCCCAGCAGTGTGATCCCAGTCACTCCCAGTTCATGCCAGTGACCTCCAGCATGCACCCTGTCACTCCCACTTACTCCCAGTTGCTTCCAGCATGATCCCAGTTGCTCCAAGTATGTTCCCAGTTGGCTTCCAGCATGGCCCCACTCGCTCCCAGTTCCGCCCTGCATAGTTCCAGTCACTCCCAGTTTGATCCTGGTCCCTTACAGTCACTCCCACTATGATCCCAGTATGGTGCTGGTCACGCCTCCTATGATCCCATTCACTCCCAATAGGATCCCAGTTGCCCCCAAGGTGGTCCCAGTTGCTCCCAGCCCCCTCGGATGGTTCCTTTCCCTCTCAGGGACTCCCAGTCTGAGTCCAGTATGGCCCCAGGCACTGTCAGTCCCTGCCTGGACGATGCCATTTGCCCCCTGCATGGTCCCAGTTGCTCCCAGTATGATCCCAGTATGACTCCAGTCACCGCCAGTATGATCCCAGTAACTTCCAGACACTTCCAGTACGAAGCCAGTTTGATCCCACTCATCTCCAGCATGGCTGCAGTTCCTCCCAGACACTCCCAGTATTATTGCAGTCACTCCCAGTATTATTGCAGTCACTCCCAGTATGATCCCAGTATGACCCCAGTAGGGGCCCAGGTGCTCCCAGTATGATCTCAGTTGCCCCAGTCCCGGTTATTGGGGGGCACTGGGGGGTGCTGGGAGGATCCCAAGGGGTAGAGCCGAGTTTGGGGGGGCAGAACCAGCGCCAGGATGGATCGGGAATGGGGACCCCCCTATGTTCCCCCCGTGTCACCCCACTCTGGGGGGGCTTTGGGAGGGCACCTGCCCCTCAATAGGTACCCACCTCACCCCAAAAGGTGCTGGGACCCCCAAAACCTCCTCACAGCCCCTCAAGGACCCCCAAAGACACTCAGAGCCCACCCAGGACCCCACCCAACATCTTTTGGGGGGGGGTTTCTCTGGGCACTGGTGGTGCTGGGAGCCCCCCCGGCTGCGGGTGAGGAGCTCTCGGGGGAGCGGGGGTGGGAAGGGGGAGGTCGGTGGGAAAAAGGGGGTCAGAGGGGATAAAAGGGGTGGTGGGACCCCAAACTGAGTGGGAGGGGAGTGGGACCCCCCAAAAGTGGAGAGGGACTGAGGTTCATGGGGAAAGGGTGGGAGAGGTGAGAAGAGTAGGGAAAGGGTAGGATGGGACCCCCAAACTGAGCATGAGGGGGCTGAGGAGTGGGGGGATGATGTGGAAGAGGGGGGAGAGGAGGGAAAAATGTGGGGGTTGGGACCCCTAAACTGATCTAGGATGGGCTGGGGATTGAGGACCAAAGAAAAGTGGAAGGAAGACGGAGAAGAGTGGAAAAGGGGGGGTGGTCTGGTGGGTCCGATGGTCCCATGGCGGTCTTTGGGCATAGGAGGGCTGGGAAAGTGGGGTGCCCCCTCTGAGCTCCCAACTGACTGAGGGGTGCTGGGGCTGCTGGATCCAATATCAGCCTTGGGTCATTACAAATTCAGGGGATTTACAGAGGTGGGACTGAACCACTTTTGTCCCTCAGGTTTTAAGGATGGCAAATCACATCTATTGATAGAAATGAATTATTTAGGGTTACAAATGATCAGACAAAAGATCTTCATCAGAATTATTTACTGCACAATAGAAACACTAAAACTACCAGTAGGACAGCATAATATAGGACAGTGCTCTACACTAAAGCAATTGTTGAAGCAATTCTACTCAAGCTGGCACCAAAGCAAGAATTATGAATTAGAGATGGATGGAACTCCCCCAGACCAACGCTCGTGGGGAGATCTCTGCTCTCAACCTCCAGCAGTGACCTTGGGGGGTCCCAGCCAAGGCAGGAATCTGCACACACCCCCCAAGAAGGGTTATGTTGGCACAATCTGCCCCTGGCAAAGGGGACTGGTCCCTTCTGGTGGAAAGGGATGGACTGACAGTCACTGGACTCCAGGCGTTGCCTCACCATCAGGGGGTCATTCATGGTGGCAGCAGTAGCCGAAGCTCTTCCTGCAGTCAGGGCACTCCTAGGGCTTCCCTTACTGGTGGGTTCGTTGGTGTGAGGCCAAGGCAGAGCTCTGTTTGAAGCTCTTCCGACACTCCCCACACTTGTAGGGCCTCTCCCCGGTGTGGATGCGCCGGTGGGTGACGAGGGTGGAGTTCCGGTTGAAGCCCTTCCCGCAGTCGGTGCAGCGGAAGGGCCTCTCATCTGTGTGTGTCTGCTCATGCCTGAGGAGCTTGGAGCTGGTCTGAAACCTCTTCCCACATTCCAAACACTTGTAGGGCCTCTCCCTTGTGTGTATCCGCTCATGCAGGAGGAGATTGGAGCTGGTCTGAAACCTCTTCCCACATTCTAAGCACTTATAGGGCCGTTCCCCGGTATGGATGAGCTGGTGGTTGTGGAGGTTGGAGCTCTGCCTGAAGCTCTTCCCACATTCTCCACATGTGTAGGGCCGTTCCCCAGTGTGGATGTGCTGGTGCCTGAGGAGGTCAGGGCTCTTCCTGAAGCTTTTCCCACATTCCAAGCACCTCAAGGGCTTCTCCCTGCTGGGAGGCTGCTCAGGGACCACCAGCTTAGAGCTCCGGCTCAAGCTCCAGCCGCCTTCCCAGCACAGGACGGGTCTTTCCTCCTCAGAGCTCCCTGGGCTGGCTTTGCAGCCCCTCCTCCGGGGGCATCTCCAGGCCTTTTCCTCCCCGCTCCCTTCCTGTGCCGGGGAGCCCTTCAAAACAGCCTCTCCCACCAGGCTCTGCCGGGGGGATTTGTCCTCCGTGCTCTCCGTCCTCAGCTCGGGGCCTGGGGCAGGAAGGAAGAAGGACAGGCAGGGGATTTGCCTCCAGCCCAGAGGGAGGGCCAAGGGCATCCCCCCACTTCTGGCCCGGGCAGGACGGCGGCGCCAGCGGGGTTGTCCTGCAGCCGGGGGCGATGCTCGGCTGCCACAGGCACCACAAGACAGGGCCAAAGGGGCACTGACTTCCTCCTCACCTGCCTGGGGGGCCCGTAGCAGCTTCCTCGTCCTCGCAGCCTCCTCCTCCATCTGTCCAAGCTTTGGGAAGGACAAATCCTGCTGGGGGGAAACAAGGACTGAGCGCGTTGGCTTGGGGGTTCCTCCTGCCCAAGTCCATTTTTACAACTCACCGGCCATCCTGGGACCATAAAAACCTCCAAAAAATCAAAATTCAGTATTTGGGGTCTCGCCTCTACAGGGTCCCTGCCCTCCGTCTCCAGGCTGCTGGAGCTCCCAGGAATCCAAGACTCCCCCATGTCCCAACTTCAGGGTTCTGGGGGACCTCAAAAACACCAAGATTCAGCCCAGAAAAAAACAAACCACCAAGATTCAGGCAAAAACCCCTCAGAAACAGCAAGAAGACCCCCGCCCCCATAATTGCAAAAAGTTAAGATTCAGTTGAAATATGAAGATGAGCCAAAAAAAGTCTCTCCCAGAAGTTCCCCTCTCTGGTCTCTCCCCTCTGGGGTTCAGAGGGTCACCCCTGTCTGGGATGTTGGGGGTCCCACTTAGCGATGTTGGGAGTGCTGGTGGTCCCAAGGGTCCCTTCTCCTCTGACTCTCACCTTTGGGGTGCCGCCTTCCCAGACCTTCCCCCTCTAAAGGAGAGCAAGGCCTAAAGAATTACCTGAAATACCTTGCTCAGCTGAGAGAAGCCCCCCCATACCTGCTCTGCCTAAATTCCTAAAGAAAAATTTGTTCTGTTCTGTTCCTTGGACCTTATAATCTAAAGAAGGCTGGAAACATTCTACAGTGGGTCTGTAGGCCAGAAATTAAGGCCAAGTCAGCCAAGGGAGACATTTGAATAAGAGAAATAGCCCTAAAGCCAAGGCTCTCTCCAAGCGTCAGTGACTGGGGCAAAGACAGTGGAAAGTTAGAGGGGTCACACTGAGGAAGACTGCAGAGACCCCAGCCCTGATGATGAAGAAAGGGGGATGAACCTCCAGAACTGAGGGCCAAGAAAAGCTCCGCCTCAAGCTCTGCCTGAACTCTGCCTGTACTCCAGTTATTATCAACATGTGTGATTAGATGTTGCAATCATATGAATATGTATCTAAGATGTTGCAATCACAGAAGTTACACTGTATAAATTACCTTTTTTTGTACCAATACCTTCAAGCAAGAGTTTTGAGGTGTGAACCCCACCTGCTCCCGACCTTGACAAATAAACAGCTTTGCTGCTCAAAAGACCAAGAGCTTCTGGGCACGTTCTTTACCAGATTTCTCAGATTCTTCTGGAGAGCAGATTGTGCCCCAGGGATGGGATTGCAGAGGGGCCCTCAGGTCCCCAGGATGAAGCAGTAAACAGCAAAAGACACAAAAGGCTCCCCACCCAAGGATTTCATGGGGAGTGTCCTGCAGGGAGGGGACAGTGTCACCCCACGAGGGCAGGGCTGGCAAGTGGGAGGCTGCTCCAGGTGTCTGCAAGAGGCCTTGTGCTCTGCCCGGCCCCATCAGTGGCTGGAACCAGCATCCCGTCCTCGTGGCCAGCGGCTCTTTCCTGCCCAAGCCAAGAGGTTCCCGGCCCCCCAGTGCTCCCCTGGGGCTGTCCCTGCTCCTCCCTGCAGGCTCCGTGGCCGGGCACACTTTGTGTTCCTGGGTGCCACCAGCTCAGCAGCTGCAGCCGCTCCAATCAGCGCCCGCAGCTCTGCAGCAAAGCCCCAGCTCACCTGGCACACAGGGCATGGACACAGCACCTTCTCGCTGCTGGGCACTCCCAGATCAGCCTCTTCCCCAGCACGGGGCTCTCCTGCCTCAGCACCACCTCTGCCTTCCACTTCTTCTTAGGGCCACCTCAGGGACACCTCTGGGCTCACCTCCGGGCCATTGCTCAGGGCCACCTCAGGGCCTGCTCTCCAGCACAGGAACCTGCAGGGAGGGCAGATGATGTGCAAGCCCAGGGGGGCCTGCTTGCACTGGCCTGGGGGCTTCTTTCTCCTTCCACAACCACCCCACAACTTCTCCTGCTTTTCTAACCCCACATCTTTGCAGACTGACCTTGTCTCTCTGTCTGCACAGACACATCTATCCCCTGTGGACAGAGCCTCCAGCATGTGCTGCCCTGGCAATGGCACCCAGAGAATCCCAGAATCAGCCGGCTTGGAAAAGACCTCCCAGATCATCAAGTGCACCCCTTGATCCAACCCCGCCGTGGTTCCCAGACCGTGGCACGGATGCCCAGGGGAGGGGCTTTGGGGATTGAGGGGTCCCCCAGTACAGCCCAGTGCCCCCTCAGTGCCCTCCCAGTACAGCCCAGTGCCCCCAGTATAGCCCACTGTGTTCCCGTCCCAGGGTGCCACGTGATCCATCTTTGGCAGGTGTTTGAGAGAATTTGGGGTGTTTTGGGGGTCTCTGGGTGCGTTTGGGGGAGTTAAAAGGGGTCTTGGGAGTATGGGGGGTTAAAGGGATCTGGGGGGAGAGGTGAGTAAAGGAAAAATGGGGGTTAGGGGACATTTGGGGGCCTTATTGGGGCCTGGGGGGCACAGGAAGAGCAGCACCACGAGCAGGTGAGTCCTGAGACCCCCCTGGTGTCTCCAAGACCCTCCTGGTGTCCTCAATTTCCCACTTGGCACCCCGAGACCCCTCTGGTGTCTCCAGTGTCCCCAGGGCCTCCCCATGGCCCGAGTTCCCCTCCTTGACACCCCCCATTCCACTGTCCCCAAACCCCTCCCCACTATCCCCATACCCTATCCCTGATGTCCCCCAAGAAGGCCCCCCTGGACCCTCTGACCCCAAAAATGGCCTCATCCCCCTACACTCACAGAAAGGTCAAGGGCATCTGGGGACATGTTGGGGACACTTGGGAGGCTTTGGGGGGGGTTGGAATGGATTTGAGGGGGGGGGGAACAAACCACGGCCCTTCCTGTGATTTCCCTCTGCTCTGGACAGTAAATTAGGAATGTTGTCCATGGAATCAGGGGCCATTGTGACACTGCAGGGCCCCATGGAACTGTGTTGTCTGGCTCTGCTGGGAGGGGTCCAGCTTTGCTGGCCTGGGAGGAAGGAGCTCCCAGAGCTCCCAGTGTGCACAAACATCTGGCTCCCTTCTCCTCCTGGGTCCCACCCAAAGCCTGGCCAGGCCTGAAGAGGCAAACCCAGGGAGCCAACCTGTCCCATCTGCTGCCAGGCAAGGCCAGACATCGACTGCCCTGGCCTTCACCAGCCCCCAAACACGGAGAGATAAAGGTCACACCTTGCTCACAATCACACACATTCTGTTAATGAACAGACACAAACAGTATCCACTAATGAGCAGTGTAATAAACTATATTTTAGAGGGGATTCTTTTTTGTTAAACTTAGTAAAACTTCAGGACATTGATATGTGATTTCCGTGTGTATTTCCCACATATCTGTTAACTACCTCTAACAAGCTGGCGTTTGTTCTCGAGGCTGATAAGAAAGGGGGGAGGGAAGTT